TACACACTCTCGTCCACGATCCCCGGTTTAATTAATTTTATCCGCTAAATAAAGGAGCTGGTGCGTTTAGGCCGCTTAACGCCAATCCAATCCAATCCAATTCAATTCAATTCAATTCAACTCCATACGAATCCATTATGAAATGGCCTCCGTAATGCTAACCAAAAGCAACAGTGAGCCGATCAGAGGTCTGGAATTATCTGTAGCTGGGTAGACAACCCAAGTACGTTTTGGGCTCTTATCTTGACAGGGCCATGGTTTTGTATTAATTTTGGAAGCTTTATGCTACTCTAGATTCCAACGGACTACTTCTTGAGCAAGTTGGGCGTTCTGTTTGTCATTTAAACACCTCTTGGCGTCTTTATGCGGTGGCTCTCTTTTAGGCCGTGTTTTTTCTTGTTTTTACTCGTCTTTCTCCCGATCAAACGATCATAGACTAACTTCAATCTGGTACCACTTTAATGGCTCGAAGATGCCGAGGAATCAAAATACACAAGGATCTTGCTATCAAAATGGGTACTTCAAATATGCGGAAAATTGGCTAGATGTTGTGTTCAATTAGGGCTCTCATAGTTCCTTGGTTATGTGGAGACCCATTTTCTTTGCCTTCATCAAGCTGAATGGTATTATCTTTTTGTGGGGTTTCCATCCCGATCCCCATGTCCATTAACGAGCGAATACTCGTGGCCGTCCAAGACCAATAAATAGCTCACGCCTTTCATCGGAAGGCATTAATTAATTGAAATTTACGATTAGTCGTTGTGACCTCTGCAAAAACAAGAGCCCCCTCCCCCCCAAAGCACCATAAATGTCCCGGTTGTTTACGCATGCACCCAAACTTAAATTTAAGGGCTAGGATATCACTATGCATTGCATTTATAACCAATTGAGACGGGCTTTATTATGAAAAGAACCCTACCCTTATTGCCTGGAGCTGCCTTCAAAATCCTTGTCGATCCAGATTAAAGGCTCTGATTTAGCTTCGGTGCCTTGCTGAGATGACTCTAAAAGAACGGTGAACAGCAAAGAAAGATAAAAGCGAGATCCCTAAAATTGTCAAAATCGATAACTTACAGATGGGATTAGTGGTTGGAAGCGACATTTTGTCTTGGTGCTTTGATCTTCAAAGATCACAAAAGGAGCATGTCTTGGGAGCAATCGGCTAAAATTGCTAACAGTGACACATCCAGAAGTGTTTTCTTTAGCGTCCGGGGCGAATGTAGTATAGCTAGAATTGGCTGCCGAGCCAGTTGATGATACATTGGTTTGTGTTGTTATCATTTTGGAAATCGCATTGGCCTCATCACAAGAAGTAGGAGAAACCGATGGAAGCGACAGCTTGCTGCCAATTGCATCGGAACATGCTTCGGTAGCCGTTGGATCGGTATGGTCTTCTGGTGCCATATCAATGAGTTCAGGACAAATGCGAACTGGCATCGACAATTCGACCACATCCTGCTTCTGGGCGCTCTCTTCTATTAAACTTGCATTGCTTGGTTGTGCAGGCAAGTTTTCATTGATGTCCACAAGATCCATTTGGCTTTTGGACGAAGATAACCTTTTTGCGGCCTGCCTAGCGCGAGACTTGACAGTAATGGAGAGAATCGCTGCTGTAGAAGTGTCTTTCTCCGTAATGCTTGCTTCCTTTTTCATTGCAGGAACATAGGCTGCCGAGCCGGGATCATTAATGACCAGGGAGGAGTTGAGCTGCGGGATATGAACCTCAAATTCGGGCTCGACAACAGCAACACCCAACAAAGGACAAGGAACAAGTGCAAGAGAAAGCATATGAGCAATGGGATACCAACTCCATGAGTAGCATGAGAATAAAAGAGCGCCAGCGACCCCTGGCCAATGTCGTTGTCCATTTGGTAAGAGTAAACGCAAACGAGAATTTTTACCACCAGCATCAATTATGCCTTGTCCAAGAACAGCACCAAACTTTGCCAATGGATCCTCGTTTCGATTTGAAGAAATTTTCTCAAAAAGGCGACGTACAGATGTTCCTGCCGATGGAATGTTTAAATTCATCATGACCAAAGAAAGGCCGATTATTGCACCTTGGCGAACAAAGTCAATGGGATCCTTAGTAGCCAAGCCAGTAAGGATACGCACTGCCAATGAGTTTCCTGTATTTGCCAATGCAATTCCAAGAGCAATACAAACTCCATATCTTACATGAGGGGAAAATGAATTGGCCAAAAGCCGGTCTGTTAGCGCGAGAAGCCTAGATGGGGAGCCAAGTAGGCCAAATCCAAGTGCAATCGCTGCTGAACGTCGTACCTCAACATTTTGATCAGACCCGATAGCATTAAGGAGCCTAGAAATAGATTCTGAAGTAGCATCGCCAGAAGGTGTCACCATGGCGAGAGCAATTGCAAGCTGAGCTCCAGCCCTAAGCTCAGGATGAGCGTGCGGAGAGGTCATTTCATCGATAATTGGGCGTGCTATTTTGTCACCAGCTCCTGAGAGCATCAGTGACACAGCGATAGCGATTCCGCGGATAACTTTATCATGGCAAGATGCTGGGGGAGTTGATGTTGCATACCGAAGTAGCTCCACGGCATCAGTTGGATCTCCAAGAGACAATAAGCCAAGGCCAATGGCAGCGGCCTCGCCAGAAACGGCGGAGCCAGAATATAGAAGCGTCTTTAGCAGCCCACTAATTTTGGTGTCAGATGAGCCAAGAGAAAGTAGGCCGACAGCAAGAGCTGCTCCGTGTTGGCGTGGCTCATATGTGGTAGAGTTAATATCCAAAGATAAATGTGGAAGAATCATGTCCTTAAATGCCTCAAAAACTTCTGGAGATCCCGTTCCGCCTGCGGGAGGAGCAGCAGTAGCCAGCCCAAGAGCATATAAAGCGCCTCCTTCAGAATATGGAGAGGATGAGTTATTATCGCTTGCGGGAAGATAGCTGGACAGGATATCAATTAAAGTTCCCGGGGTTTGTCCTCTATGAATAACTCCCAAAGATGCAGTGGATGTGAATTTTGCCCAATTTGTTGCGTGGGAGATAAAATCAATAGAGCTTCGGTAGACATTATCTGAAGTGGTACCGCAAGCCGAAATGCCTTGAGCTATAGCAAAAGCACAGTGATGGAGAGAGCTCTTAACACTCAAATGGGATCTTGTTGCCATCAATACAGTAGAATCCATGTGATTGTTTCGAGAAGAAAACTCGAGAAGAAATTGCGTTTGCAGGTATCCTTCAAAAAGAGGTGCTAGCTTGGCGATTCCCTTCTGTTCTTCGCTTTTAAGATGCCCTACAATTTCAACAAGTAGATTTCGAGGAGAAGCCTCGACAAGAAAAAGGACCACTTGCAAGATGATGGAGGCGGCCTAATGTTAATTTAATTGCTTCTCCATATGTTACCTTTGGATTTCCACAAGTCGATGAAAGCAATGAAGTTATGAATGAAGAAATCGAAACAGAATCGCGTAATCTAATCCAGCATGTTAGCCCATGGAGCATTCCGTCAATGCAACCAAGGCTTTGGAACTCTGTTGCTAATATGGAAAGCATCTATGAAAAGTTGACCACAAAAAAGTACCTGGTTCATGGATTGAGAAAGCGAAGAGTCAGACGTTAATCCATCAAAAGTATGTTTTAGGAGCGAAAATTTGGCCGAGGATCCGTGAGATAGCTCAATAACTCTTTTGAAGATATTGATGCGCCCTGTGGACAGCGCAATCCCAATTACTTCATAGTATTGACTTAAAGAAAGAGCCTCTCCAACTATGGCATCAATAATGGAAAGAAGTTGTGGATCTTCCGGATTGGCCGTAAACATATCAATAGCCTTGGTCTTTAAAACCTGAATCCATTCTTCGAGGCGTGTCCATCCTACCAGCGATGGCCCAGCAGCAAGGGCAAAAAGCAAGCTCTGTTCGTAGTCCCCAAGGTGGTAGAAGGCTTTTGATAGAATAAGAGAAGTATATTGCCGCTCTTCGGTACTCCTCTTTTCGTCTTCGTTCAGAATTTCAAGCTGAGAAATATCACTGGCACTTAAGAACGCCCAGCAAGAGTCAATTTCCTGCGCAAGTTGCATAAGGGCCTGCAAATGGCCGCTGCCTGAGCGTGAAGAGGACAACAATGACTCGATGAGCAGCGGAACTAAAATAAATGGGCAATCCGTACCGTTGACGCTGCTACTGGCACGGTCGTGTATTTCTGAGTGGGAAGCAGCATGATCCATGTCTGATGCTGAGGTTATCATTGTCCAAATTACAATTAAATTTTTAAAATCTTTTAAATTTCAAATGAACTCGGTCCCTGGTGGCGGTCAGCATGCCTCACCAGATTCTGCCACCTCTGCATCGCCCACAGACTTGGCCATTCTAAAGTATCTCAATACGAAAGGATATCGAAACCCAGAAGAGCTTGCACCAACATCGACTACCATCGAGAATTTGGCAATGGAGGTGATTTCGGAGCAAGATTCTCAAATTGCCACTTCTACTCTTTCTGGGGGCTCGCTCACACACAATCCCTCTCCAACATCTATAACCTCTTCATCTTCCTCAGCCACAGGTGGTAGCTCTATCCTTGGGGGATTATCTTCGCAAAACCCGTCAGCCCCATCACTGCAGGTGGTTCATGCTTACGAGCTCCAATTTATTAGAATGAAAAAATGGATCCTCAACAGCCTTGAAATTTATCGAATTGAGCTGATTTCCCTAATCTTCCCGATTCTCGTGCATTGCTATTTGGATTTGCACTCAAGAGGATGTTCAACGGAGGCCACGAACTTTCTCACCACTCAAAGAAAAGATGCCCTTCTAAGTGCTGCCGAAGAGGAGGATTTAGACAAGCTCCTTTCGATTAAGGACATCGCTCATTTGCGCGAAAACTCTCTTGCAATTGCCTTTAGGAGTTATAAGTTTAATGTAAAGCTCTCTCTTTATGCCTTTGAACTTTTTGTCACCTTTGTAAATGAACATCGATTGACCCTGATCAGGAAAATCGTCAATGCTCACATTAATCTGATTGTGACAGAAGGACATCATTTTCCAACTACAACGAATCAGCAGGTCTCGACGGCCTCCAACTCTGGTTCAGGAGGTGCTGCAGGTTTAGCGAGCTTCGTAGGCACTCCCCAAGCAGAGCCTGGAAGGAAATTTGTCCCTCCGTCGCTTCCAAAAGTATGGTGGGGTGTTCCTCCCCCGGAGGAAAGCATCTTAAGAGTCCATTCAAGTGCGGTTCCTGACCATGCCTCACCAGTGGTTCTTCAAGAAAATGAATCTCTTGCCTCCTCATCTTCAATGATTCCGCCTCTGGAATCATTAAGGGGAGAAGAACCGGACACGGCCACCCTTCTTGCTCGCCTTAAAGAACTGGCAAGACGGGTAATTGTTGGCCGTAATTTGCTGCCCTCATCTATTTGCTATACTCTTCACAATTCTTACGGTAGGATAGGCGTTGTTCGGTTCTCTCCTGACGGGGTTCTCATGGCCACCGGTTCGGCCGATTCACATATTGACATTTGGAGCACCGGACGTGGGCTTCCTCCCGGAAAACCTCCTTGCTCAGTATTGGCCGCTGTAAAGAAATCACCCGAGCTTGCCCATCTGGATTTTGACATGCTACCGACAATTGCAGAAATCAAAGAGTCAAATGGCGAATGTTGCTGCGGCGGCGTCGATGGAAAGCATTCCATTTCCAGACGCCTGATTGGCCATTCTGGTCCCGTCACTGGCCTCGCATTTTCATTTGACCGTCGCATACTTCTCTCATCTTCGATTGACGGTACTCTCCGGCTTTGGTCCTTAGATAACTTTTCTTCTCTCGTGCTGTTTAGAGGCCATTCAGGACCAGTTTGGGACGTGGCTGTTTCCCGTGCTGCCACTTGCAATACGCCAATTTATTTTGCTTCTGCTGGAGCAGATAAGACCATCCGAATATGGTCCTCAGAATGGCTATCACCGATTCGCCTTCTTGTTGGACATCTTGGAGATGTGGAGTGCATAACATTTCATCCAAATAGCCTCTACCTTGCCAGCGGATCCTCTGATCGGACAATTCGCATTTGGGACGTTCAAACAGGCGCAACTGTCCGTCTTATGACGTTGAATATCATGTATTCGTCTTCATCGATTACAACATCGATTCCATCTGCTCTCTCTATTTCTCCTTGTGGAAAGTACTTGGCTGGGGGCGACAGCGGAGGTAGAATCTACCTATGGGACATTTCTACCGGAAACACGCTTTTTTGCTCAGAAGATAAAGAAAAAGCGCCCTCAATCTATCCGATCTCGTCCCTTGCCTGGTCTATGATTGAAGGGAGAATACTTGCATCGGCTTCCTTAAATGGATCTGTTGCTCTTTGGGAATTTGGAATCAATAAAAGCGATCCAACGGATGTGAAAGCAGCCATGCCATCAGAGGATGGAGCATCGTCGAACAACTGTACTACCCATCAGTCCTCATCATCGCCTCTGACTCTTCTGAAGTGTTATTATACAAAAAATACTCCCGTGCTTGAGATTGACTTTTCTGCTCGCAATTTGCTTTTGGTTGCCGGTGCATATACCCCTCCACCAACTGCGCTTTGATGCCTTGTCATCGGGTATTAAATCAAACCGTTACTTTGTTCAACAATTACAGCATCTTTACATAAAACTTATCGCTTGTTTTTTGGGTAAACCAACCAGATGTGCTCCGACAAATGCTTCCCATAAGTAGAATTTAATTTTTAACTTTTAAAATAAAGTGTTTGATTGTCCAATGTGACGAGTTCCATACTATCGATGGCTTCTATTCCAAACGGCCGTTGAAATTTAGGACTCGCAGATCGGATCAGCCTGACTCCACACTTGCACTCGCATTCGTATGTAGGTACTAAAATCACAGGCAAGATCTTGACACAAGTTATGAATTTGCCAAGTAATCATCCTTTATTGGTCTTGGAGTCCCATGGACTTCAGGAACTTGATGGCGTTTGCGGTTTCCTTGGCTTGGCGGTCTGTGGACCACCCAGCCTCGGCTGCCATAATTGAGACAATCTTTGGGAGAGATTCAAGCGCTGCTTTTGAGTTCAAAAAGGCGAGACGAGTGCGACGGGCCAAAATGTCGACTGCAGTCTGGGCGTACTCATGACGTGCGGCATATCTTATTTCTGCCTCCAAGAACGGATAATCGGGGACAATTCGGCTATAATCTGGAAGGCGTTTTCCTTTGGCAGCGTCGGATGTGCCCTTGGCATCGAGTTCAACAATCATGTAAGCACGATCTCCATAATTCTGGACGAGATGGTCTGCTGTTTCGCCGTCTAGTTTGTATTTGTGGATAAGATCAAGGGCCGTGGTAGCGCGACTAAATGTGTCTGCTCCAATTAGCTCCGTTTTTGCAGTGATGGAAGGGCCCTTGGGGAGTAATTCTACCGTAAGTTAAAGCAAAGTTACTAAACGACTTGATGGCCTCAATGATGGTCTCTTCCGCCATATTTCTGAAGGTAGTCCATTTTCCGCCTGATATCGTCATAAGACCGGAGAGAGATTCGGAGACGAGATGAGAGCGAACAAGGCTCTGCGTTGTGGTTGAGTTTGGATCTTTGATCAAAGGACGAATGCCGCACCAGGCTGCCAAGACATCCTCGCGCGGGATCTTGACGCTGGGATTCAAAAAATGAGAGACCTCGTTGAGAATAAATTGGATGTCTTTTTCTGCCGGAATTGGATCATAAGAGAGATTAGATGGTTCATCGGTGGTTCCTGCAACCACGCTTCCTTGCCACGGAAGAACAAAAACTACACGACCATCGGAGGTAGCCGGGTCTAAAAGACCCATTTTGGAGGGTGAGTAATGGCTGGGAAGAACGATGTGAACTCCGGAAGATGGAGAAACCATGGCCTTGATATTTGGCTCATCCATCATACGGATACTATCACAATAAGGCCCTGTGGCATTAATAACTCCCTTTGCTTTGATAGGAAAAGACTCTCCAGAGATAGAATCACGAACAATGGCGCCTGAAATCTTTCCTGATTCCGGGTTTTTGGTAAGAGAAGTCACCTCAACATGATTGACAGCAGTTGCTCCCATTGCGATTGCGGTGAGAGCAATGGAGACATTGGTTCTGGAATCATTGTGCATGCCATCATAATAGACCATGGCACCAGCAAGGCCTTCTTGCTTGATCAGGGGAAAGGCCTCAATTGCCTTTGTGCGCGACATAAAGTAGGAGGTGGAGACACCCTGCGTGCCCGCAATCAGATCATAGGCTTTTGATCCTGCCCAGAAGTATGGCACAAGGTACCACTTGTAGATGGGCAGCAAGATTGGCATTGAATGGGAAAGATGAGGTGCTATCTTCAAAAAGGTTGATCTTTCACTGAGAGCCTCGCGAACCAGTTTGTATTGCTCCCAATCGAGCCCCATAACGGCCTTTTCCAAATATCTCACACCACCATGTACGAACTTTGTTGACTTTGAGGAGGTCCCTGAGGCAAAATCTTCGCGCTCCACAAGAGCAACTTTAAGCCCTCTGGACGCTGCTTCCAAAGCACAGCCAACACCCGTAGCACCGCCTCCGATCACAAGCAGATCATAGACCTCGGTCTTTTTCAAATCAGATAAAAGACTTTCTCTTGTTGGTGGGATCCACTTGGTCAAGCTGGGTCTCTGTATTGATTGGACCTTTGAATCTGCATATACTTGAAAGGGCCCGCTATCAGCATCCTTACTCAAAAGAGTGGCGATTCCGACACCCGAAACTGCTACAATTGTCGCGGCGATTCCTACTCTAGCCGCGTATGGATAGTTGTATCTTGACGATGATCTGCGAAAGGAAGATAAAGTACCGCGTAACGCATTCCGAAACGACGAAAAGGCCGAGGAGTTCATATAGTGCACTCTGTAAATATCACACTGTAAAAAGCAACTTTATATTTTCAATCTGATAATAGCCATTGACTAGCTGATTTTGAAACACTTCCCGCACCCACGCTGCTTGCATATATGTATCAGGATCGACCTTGCTGACCATTGATCGGTTACCAATCATACTGGGATTTCAACACCATATCACAAGACAGATTGGAATAGGTTGCCTGCGCGATCCATTAATACAGCCAAGTGAAATCAGTACTGATTTCCTTTTATTTCCGACATGTATCCAGGCGACTTTTTCTACAAATCTTGGCCACGAAAAGAAGTTATTATTTCTCGTTCGCTCTAGCTTACGAAAGGAAGCCAAGGATTTTTTCGAGTGATATTTTCAAAAATCAGCATCGCAGTAGCACATAAACCACCGCAAAAAGGAAACAACTAGAGATGGGTGTATCTTCAATTTAAGCCAAACGTAGACATATGTGCAGATGCCTCTTTCTTCGGTTTTTATTGGAAATCCATACCTAACCCTGATGAACATTATTACTCCTTGCTCAAATAGTTAATCCCCCCACAAAGGTCTTTTTGAGTAATAAACAACAAATAAGCACGGAATTATCCATATATGAATACATTTACACTAGCATCTTCAGGATTATGAAAGCAAAATATTCCATTTGCACAGAAAATAAGGGCTTTACGTATTGAAGGAAATGATTCAAATAAAGTGGAGCTTTCCGATGTAGTCTCCGAAATCCACTTCATCTAATCGGCTAGCAAGGAACAATCAAGCACTCCATTTATATTTGCCATGGAGCTGCGAAATTTTTCATATTCAACCCAAACGCCTGTAATATGTCCGGATGAATTCCGATCAACTCTAGCTCATTAAATTTTACAGATCTTGAATGATAAATTTACAGTTATCTCGTTGGCTTGAATATGTTGGATACTTGAAACTTACCTATTTCACCGTAATAAAAATTTCTCAAGGTCTCGATTTTTGTGTTTGGCTAAAGTTCCATTTAGCGGTGGTAACCTTAAAATGTTTTTTTGCGGCTGAACTTCAAGTCTGCTCTACCAGTGGCCATAATATCTATAACAATATTTAAACGGATCAAATCCTTCAGCATATTCAGAATGGAAAGTATCGAGGCTTTCAATGATTCCTAGTACGATTGAGAGCCAATTTAGACAGAATATCCGGCCAGTGCTGGCATCTGCTTGGTTAAACTTAATTTATCTTGGGCGGTTAGAGTTAAGTGAAAGCTGTAATATACCAGATCCAAAGACTCAATGCGGCGGTCGTGTGTCCACTGTATGCGCATCTAGCTGCTTTAAATCAAGTTACTCGATTCAGCTAAAAGACATTATCGTTGAATCTGGTCAATTTACAGAAGAATTTAGGCTTAACAAGGCTATTTAATAGACTCTACGTCATTTACTTCGGTTTTCTATATCATATGTGACTGAAATTCAGAAAGTACAGCAAAACTTGAAAAGATAAGGGAAGTTTGTATGATGTTCTAAAAAGATTCTTATTTGAAGAGGATGTCCTTGCTAAATAACGGCAGATATCAGCTTTTTGACAAGGATATCCATTTGATAAAATATTGCAGAGAATTTCTTGGAAATATGAAGACCTGATGAGTCAACCTTCGGAGTTTAATTGATCATTTGAGTAATCGATGAATTTAATATTGCAATTGGATGCAAAATTTCATGTGCAAAACAGTCTATAAATGGGTAGCAACTTTTTCAAAAATTTGTCCACTTTGATGATCTTTCCAAAGCTTATATTTATCGTAACTTTCATTGCAATTCTGATGCTCCCCCAATTAAAAGCTGAAGATGATGCAAACAAAAGAAATTTACAAGATCGAGCAGACGACCAACAAGTTGTAATACTTCAAACAGTGAAAAAAACGGGAGAAAATCTAGATGCTATATTAAAAACCCGAGATCTATTAGATCAAGATATTTTGGAACTTCGAGAATGTGTACAGGCTCTTCAAGCTCTACTAGTTCCAAAGTCTGTATTAACTGAAAAATATCTACCAGCTCTACAAGATCTTGCGCAAGAAAAAAATCAAAAAGATCTACGAGATGAACAAAAAACTCTGGAAACTTTAAAAGGTTCAAAAGATGAAGAGATTGAAAAGAGTATAAAAGATATAGACGAGATTCAAAATGAGCTTTTAGGCACGCTTTTAGACGAGCTTTTAGACGAGCTTCTAAAAAAACTAAAACAGCCATCAGATAAAAAAAATCAACAAGATCTAAAAGCTTCAAATGGTGAACAAATTCAAAATGGTATAGAAGATATCGACAGAATTCTAAACGAGACGACAATTTCACAAGCTAAAGAAAATCAAAAAAAGAGCACCCCAAACAAACTCCAGAAAATCAAAAAGAAAAACCTTCATCAGCTAAACAACATTACCCAGGGGGAGTACCACCAAATGGTTCCACATAAGAATAAATTAAACGTTTTTAAGGCCATTAACTAATAATCCCATACGAATATTTTCCTAGTTTGGGGTCACTAACCTAAACTTATGCTATTGATTGCAAGCGTGCATTACTGGAATGGGATAAATCTGTTCGTGCACAATATATTCCTTCGATTCAATGAAATAACTGCCAAATTTGGCGCTCCAACGCAACGTTATTGAAAAGCCGTGAAAAACTACCACCTCATAAATGTTGGCCCAAATTCAAAATACCTTCCACATTTATTCGGTAAAAATAAAATTCAAATTCATCGATGCATTAATGAATGCCATAAGAGAGTGTGTGAAACTTCAAATATTTATGAACGTTAAATGGGACACCGATCAATATTCAATAGAAAACTGTAGCAAAAATCAGATCACTTATCGAAACCGCTGTAAACGAATATTTTGGAAATTTTTGGCACAATTCGATAAATCTTCGCCCTGGATGTTCCATTATGGAAAAAGGTCCTCACCTGAGCCATTTGAAATGAGGATTCCAGAAATTGCATCCTTTTACAAGAGAAATACAGCTTTTGGTATTTTAGAAAAAACTTTCGAGCCATCTGGTAGATGTGGTAAATATCGGGGTAAGCGGAGCAGGCAGCGTGAATTTTTCCAGGCAGCGTTGGGCTGATTGTTCATCCAAATCGATACCATCTTTTTTTGGTTGGCCTCAAAGGTAATATTATTTTCTAAAGAAAAACAAAAGTGCAAAACGAGTGATGATGCAACGATAATGTCAGTTAGAGGCCTTGCTCAGGATAGTGATGCGGTGTCAGAATCCAGATTTTCGATTCGTCAAGCGTGGCTTTGTATTCCTTTTGAAAAAAGAACCTCAAAAATAGGGGAGCAAAATTAATTCTCGGAAAGGCCTTCAATTGTAGCCTTTGAAGCTGGTTTTCGGTGAATATATTCAAAAGTGGATGGTGACAAACGAGCACATGCTATTGGATTTCTGCAGCCGTTGCTCGAGTATGGGGGTTTTCTGAAAAGACAGTAGCCAGGAACCAGATGGCATTTTCTGAAGTCCCTCGGGCCAAATCGCTAAAAAGAATCGGGGCAGACCGAAAATTTCCACTCACCAATTTGTATGCAACTGTGCCAAATGACCACGTATCAATGGGTTATAAATAGCAGGTCGTCTCAGCCAATAATGTTTCTCTGAAGACTAAAATATGAGCCAACACGGGGCTAAATATGCGGGTATTCTACACTTCATTGCATGGGAATCGGCGATCAAGCTTTCTTGAGTGATTGAAAGCCCAAAATCGGCCAATTTGTGTATCCCAATCACAAGGAAAAATTTACAGCGTTCACGCAGTCTGTGGTTATGAGAATGTTTGAAAGTTTAATGTCTCGATGAAGAAACCCATGTCGATGCATAAAAAAAATGTTCGTTGCACAGTTTAGAACAGATATGCCGTGGCTTCTGTTTCACATACTATTCCGCCAGAAAAAAAGATGTGCTGTGGAATAGTTCCCCGCTGGAGACATCCGCGCAATGAAATGGGCGATCTTTGGATTTGGTCTTGCGCTTAACAATTGATGAATCAAAACCTCATTTGCAATGTCGATTGCTCAGGAAGAGGATATCTAAATCATAAATCACTATTTCTTACTAGCTCAAGGGAAACATTCAAATTATGTCGAAATTGGCCGGCCAAATAGACCTTTGACGAGGAGTCCCGCCTGATTTTGCCAATCAGGCGATAGGTCCGGCCATCAACTGTGTATGACGACATCAAATAATTTGAATATCCAATTTATTAAACCCTAAATTTTCAACTAATTTGCCTAAGCGACCTCCTGCACCAAAACAGAAACAGGATTCACTCTGGAAATAGATTGTAATTCCATTTCATTTATAGAGTCTTTATGTGAAAAATCACGATCCGCTTCAACATCACTTTTAGAGCAACAAACTTTGCCGAAAAAAGACTTATCGCAGAGAAAATCGGAT